GCAGCGCACACACACGCAGAGAGAGAATGCATTGATATATCGACGCGGTGACGCACGCAACATGCAACACCGATTCGAACTGCCACTGCAACGCCCACAAAAACAACAAAAAAACACATGCGTTCACTCCGTGCAAAGCACGTGAGGGGTGAACGGCACCCCCGGTGAAGGTAACCCGTCAGGAGAGGGAAGACGCAAACATGCCCACAGCGCAAAGAGGCGCCACTGGCAAGTCACACCGAATTAGTGTGCCTCACACGTGCGGTGGATGTGGGCACACAAAGTCCCCCTCCAGCAACTCTGAAGAGATACGCACCACAGCCGGAAACATACCGGCGGGGCCCAAGGCGCACAACCCGTAAAGGACGCAATGGATTGGCACCCAGTGACTGCCACCAACGCAGCAACCGTCAAAAAAACAGAACCGAAACTCCGCCCCCCATGCAACCGCCCCCAGCGCCGTCGCCTCCACCTCCTCCCGCTCTGCCGTGCTCAGCGCCATGTACGCTGCACGCGTCAGCAGCACCTGCCCGCCGTTCCCCACGCTCTCCGTGCGTGCCGCCATGTTCACCGCGCCACCGTAGTAGTCGTACCTCTCCGTAACCTCGTCGCGGCGGATGTCGCACAGCCCAGTGTGCACCCCCACACGCACCCGCAGACCGTTCCAGTGCTGCCGGTACACGGCGGCGTCCAGGCGCGCTGTCGGCGGCACGTACCCCTCTGCCTCCGCCCCCTCCTCCGCCCGGCTCTCCTCAAACTTGCGGTACGCGTCGTCAAGCACACTTGTCCCCCACGCGTGCTGCAGAAACACCCGCTGCAGCTCGCGCACAAGCTGCACGGCGGCAAACGCACTCTTGCACGCTATCATGAACGAGTCACCGATCGTCTTCACCTCGTAGCAACGGTACTTCGCGATCAGCTCGCGGATCAGCTGGTGGTGCGTCGCCACCGCGTCGGACATCGCCTCAGGGCACGCGGCCCACAGCGCTGTGCTGCTCTCGATGTCAGTGAACACGAGCGTCACGGGGTCCGTCGGCTCCTTCGGCGCAGTCGCGTTGTCACGTGAGTCGCGACAGCAGCACAGCAGCACCACAACCACCCCCACCGCAATGATGGTGACCAGAAGCACCACGGCAATGACGATGCCGATCAGCTGCACCATCGACAGTCCACGCGCAGCGGGCTCTACGTACCGCATTGGTGGCGTCTCTGGGGGTGCGACGTGAGGAACTGAGGGATCAAGCGACCGCGACATCGACCAAATGGCAATATCTGACGCACCGTAGTTCACCAGACAATCAGAAGAGGCACCACACATTGGGGGGTGCAGAGACGCGAAGGGGCCAAAGATCATGCCTTCCACAGAAATCATCCTGTACATGTAGAGTGTCTGCAGGAACAGGTCGGACGTGATGATGTCCATCACCTCCGAAAGGGCCAGCATCGCACGAACAGCCACAAAACCCCTCAGCCCCAGCGGCGACCACCGGGAACTGTTCGTCACGGCAGCGTGGTAGCTGCGCACAATCTTCACCTGCGACTTCGTGTCCGCCCAGTGCGGCATGTTGGTCGCGTAAAGAACGCGGTCCGTGGCACCGTCCGCCTTCCTGCCGACAAAGTACGGGTACAGAAGGTTGTGGTCGGCATACGACATCAGAACGTGCAGGTCCGGGTGCGCGGCAACGTGGCCCAAAATGAGGGGGAGGTCGGTGCTGAAGATGCCAAGCACAAAAACCCACCCTGTACGGGGGAGGTCCTGCATGACAGTCTGCTGCCACTCAAAAAGCTTCAACGACCTCAGCTTGATGTCGAATGTCACGAGTGTGCGGCGCAGCACGTCGGCGACGGCAGCTTTGTGCGGGCCCGAAATGATTGCGTGGGCCTCACCGACGGAGGAGGCGGAGAGGTACATGGCAAGCCTGTATAGCTCCTGCGCAAGCGTCGCGGTGAGGTAAATCACGTTGCGCCGCTCCAAGTGCGGGGCCACGTACAGTGCGACGGGGTCCACAAACGTCAGGTTCGGCAACAGCAGCGCCTCTCCCACCGTCACGCCCATAAAGAAGTCCGCACGCCGCTCCCTCAGCTCGGCCTTAAGCCTCTCGACGGCCCCTGCACGGGTCGCTGAGACAACCTTGAGTGTAAATTTCCGCTTTCCCGGTGATGACGGTGGCAGCGCACGCCTCTCAGCGTACACAAGCTCACTGGTGGCGCGACTCGCACGCTC